TAGGGGTTTGGAGAGTCGCAGGTTGACAGGAACTCAACATAGATTTTTGCCATTTATAGATAGTTAGTTAGTGCTCCACAATAGTCTATTATATTTTGTTTTAACTCATTTAGATGTGTTTCATTTTGGAGGCTGAGTGCCTATGTACCTTTCAGTTGACTCTTATGTGTTAGAGATACATTATTTTCATTTTAGTTTATCAGATGTACTTTCTTTTCTCCTGTTGGAACATATTGATACTATTGGATGTCTTTTATCTACACTGTGTTCCATATATTTTCATCTTTGTTGTATCTGCTTGTACCCTCTCTATTTTAATACTTTATTTTTGCTAGAGTGATAATAATTATGATAGTGAAACATGTTTATGCATGATGGAGGGTGCGTGATAGGTTTAACATCTTTGGGTTTACCTTGAACTATAGCTATGTGTGAAAGCAGGGGCGTCACAGCCCCAGATGGGAGAGTTTTATAACATCCCTGAAATATCGAGCATTTGAGTGCTCAATCTATGGAGAGATCCTAAGCCCTTTGTGCTTCTTCGCAAGGTAAACCCAAGGCACTTCCACCATATGGTTGACTCCCACAGTCACCTTTCGACCATCATGGCTATACTAAAGACCTAGGCGTCTACATAACACCTGGGCACCCAACTTCAGGGTTGTCATACTATCTAGTTGCCCTCAGGGCGGCTCTCTGTAGGGAGAAAGACCTAGTCAATTTTAGTAAGTCCTAGGCACAGTCTCAGAGTTGTAAAAGACCTAATAAACTTCAGTAAGTTCTAGATATCCAACCTCGGTTGGATATTAAGCCCTTGGTTCCTTTTCAGGAATAAACCCAAGACACTAACCATATTATCGACTCCCATAGTTGTCTTTTGATCATCATGGCTATACTAAAGACCCAGGCGTCTACATAAGACCTAGGCACCCAACCTCAGGGTTGTCATACTACTTAGTTGCCCTCAGTGAGGTTCTTTGTAGGGCAAAATACCTAGTCGACTTCAGCAAGCCCTAGGCATAGCTTTAGGGTTATAAAAGACCTAGTTAACTTCAGTGAGTTCTAAGCATCCAACCTCGGTTGGATATTAAGCCATTGGTACCTTTTCAAGAATAAACCTAAGGCACTAATCATATGATCAACTCCCACAGTTGCCTCTTGACTATTATGGGGATCCTAAAGATCTAGGCGTCTATGTAAGACCTGGGCACCCAATCTCATGGTTGTCATTTTACCTGATTGCCATCAAGACGACCCTCTATAGGGTGAAAGACCTAGTCGACTTTAGTAAGTTGTAGGCATAACCTCAGGGTTATTAAAGACCTAGTCAACTTCAGTAAGTTCTAGGCATTCAAATTCGGTTTGATATTAAGCCCTTAGTACCTTTTTAGGAATAAACCCAAGGCACTAACCCTATGGTCGACTCCCACAGCCACTTCTCGACCATTATAGGGATATTGAAGACCTAAGCGTCTATATAAGACCTGGGCATCTAACCTCAAGGTTGCCATTTTTATCTAAATACCATCAGGGCGGCCTTATGTAGGGCAAAAGACCTAGTCGACTTCAGCAAGTCCTAGGTACAACATCAGGGTTGTGAAAGACCTAGTCAACTTTAGTAAATTCTAAGCACTCAACTTTGATTGAATTCAAATACCTTGGTGCCTCTTCTCAGGGTAAACCCAAGGCACTCACTATATGGTCAACTCCTACAATCACCTCTTAACCATCATGGCTATATTGAAGACCTGGGCATCTACGTAAGTCCTAGGCATTCAACCTCAGGGTTGTCATTCTGCCGAGCAGACATTGGTGTTATTTTAAACGAACCCAAGGCCGGAGCTTAAGTGTTTGAATGTCGTCAACAATACAACTTTGACAACACAATTTTCCAAGTCTTTGTCGACTGAACGTCTGGTAGGTATATTAGAGGATGTACCTATCCAGGTTGGTAAATTCTACATTCCGGTTGGTTTTGTTATTCTTGAAATTGAGGAGGATTCTCAAATCCCTATTATATTAGGAAGACCTTTCCTTGCTACTGCTGGAGTGGTAATTGATGTGAAGAATGGAAAGCTCTCTCTCAATATAGGGGATGAAAAGGTGAATTTTGACTTGTTTTCTGCTATGAAATTTTCACTAATTGATGAACTTGCTGCAGGATTGATGCAATTGATATGGTGGTTAGAGAAGACTTTATTAGATGCATCTCAAGTGATCCACTTGAGAAATGCTTAGTAGAGAATAAGGCACCAGTTGACGATGATCAGGAAATAACTTCCTATGTTACGATACTGGATGAAAGCCCAACCTACACCAAAACCACCTACAGCAAAGGACATGATGTAGTGGCTGAAACTACAAAAGAGTTGAATGCACTGGTTGTGTCCATGGACACAGCTGTGTCAAAAAGCAGCAGAAACATCCCAGAACAGGTTTGTGAAGGGAAAACTGCACCCAAGGTAGAACTAAAACCACTCCCCTCCTCACTCAGGTATGAATTCTTAGACGCCAATGGTGAATACCCTATAATTGTTAATGCTGATTTAAGTCACCAGGAAGTTGAGAAATTGCTTAAGGTTCTAAGGTTGCATAGGGATTGTTAATGCTGATTTAAGTCACCAGGAAGTTGAGAAATTGCTTAAGGTTCTAAGGTTGCATAGGGATGTGATAGGTTATTCCATAGAGTCACCAGGAAGTTGAGAAATTGCTTAAGGTTCTAAGGTTGCATAGGGATGTGATAGGTTATTCCATAGACAATATTAAGGGCATTAATCCATCCATTTGCATGCATCGAATTTTTCTAGAAGAAGGGTACAAAACTTACATTGAACATCAAAGAAGGCTAAACCCAAACATGAAAGAGGTCGCCAGGAAAGAGGTGCTGAAACTACTTGATGCGGGGATCATCTATCCTATTCTTAGATAGCGAATGGGTGAGCCCGGTTCAAGTAGTACCTAAAAAGGAAGGTATGATCGTTGTCAAAAATGAAAAAAATGAGCTAATCCCCACTAGAACGGTCATCGGTTGGCGCATGTGCATTGATTATCGAAAACTTAATAAAGCTACCATAAAAGATCATTTTCCCCTCCCTTTTATCGATCAAATGTTAGAGAGGCTGGCTAGACATTCTTATTTCTGTTATCTAGATGGGTATTCAGGATTCTTTCAAATCCTAATTCATCCTAGTGATCAAGAGAAGACAACATTTACATGTCCATATGGCACTTTTGCTTATAGGAGAATGCCATTTGGCCTATGTAACGCCCCTGCCACTTTTCAAAGATGCATGATGGCCATATTTTCTGATTTTATGGAGAACATTATGGAGGTCTTTATGGATGATTTTTCAGTCTATGGAATTTCTTTTGATGACTGTTTGCACAACCTTGCTAAGGTCTTAAAAAGATGTAAAGAAATGAACATTATGTTAAATTGGGAGAAGTGTCATTTTATGGTACAAGAAGGAATTGTTTTGGGTCATTTAATTTCTAATCGGGGTATTAAAGTGGATAGAGCTAAAATTGATATCATTGCTAAGATGCCACCACCGAATAATGTAAAAGGAGTTAGGAGCTTTCTAGGCCATGTCGGGTTCTTTAGGCGTTTCATTAAAGATTTTTCTAAGATTGTCAAACCCTTAACTCGCTTGCTTATAAAAGATGTTCCCTTTGCATTTGATCAATCTTGTTTTGATGCTTTTGATAGGTTAAAGGAAGCTTTGACAACTGCTCCAGTTATGAGACCACTTGATTGGAGCATTCCATTCGAGATTATGTGCGACGCAAGTGACTATGCTATCAGGGCTGTTCTTGGGCAAAGGAAAGAAGGAAAAATATACACCATATACTATGCCAGTAGAACAATGGATGAAGCTCAGATGAACTATGCGACAACAGAAAAAGAACTCCTAGCCGTAGTGTTTGCCTTGGATAAATTCCGATCATACCTTGTTGGGTCGAAGGTCATAGTATTCATAGATCACGCTGCTTTGAAGTACCTCTTGGCTAAAAAGGATGCAAAACCACAACTGCTAAGGTGGATTCTCTTATTACAGGAGTTTGATCTCGAGATAAAAGAAAAGAAAGGCACCAACAATGTAGTAGCTAATCATCTCTCTAGGCTCAGGCAAGAAATGGATCAAGGAGAAGGTGAAAAGGAGCCATTTGATGATTCATTCCCAGATGACAACTTGTTTGCTGTTACAAGTCTCCAAGCCCCTTGGTTCGCTGATTTTGTGAACTATATTGCCTGTGGGGTGTTACCACCTGAATTGTCCTATCAACAACGCAAGAAGTTCCTATCGGATGTCAAGCACTATCACCTGAATTGTCCTATCAACAACGCAAGAAGTTCCTATCGGATGTCAAGCACTATTATTGGGATGAACCCTGTCTTTATAAGTGTTGTGCAGATGAAGTAGTTCCTATCGGATGTCAAGCACTATTATTGGGATGAACCCTGTCTTTATAAGTGTTGTGCAGATGAAGTTTTTAGAAGATGCCTGTGTGAAGAGGAGGTATTGGATGTCATATCCCACTGCCGCTCTTCACCATACGGAGGTCATGCAAGCACCACCAAGACCGCGACAAAAGTATTGCAATCTGGGTTCTATTGGCCTTCACTTTTCAAGGATGTGAGACGTTTCACGCTTAGTTGTGATTGTTGTCAACGGACAGGAAACATCTCACGAAGGAATGAGATGCCACTAAATAATATTTTTGAAGTCGAACTCTTTGACGTGTGGGGGATTGACTTCATGGGACCTTTTCCACCATCATGCAATAACAAGTATATATTAGTAGCAGTGGATTACGTGTCAAAATAGGCTGAAGCTTTAGCATCCCCAACAAATGATGTGAAAGTAGTAGTCAAACTATTTCAAAAGGTCATTTTCCCTCAGTTTGGTGTCCCAAGAGCTGTAATCAGTGATGGAGGATCTCACTTTGCAAACAGGGTGCTAAGTACACTTTTGAGGAAGTACGGAGTAACTCACAAAATGGATACACCGTATCATCCTCAAACAAGTGGCCAAGTGAAGATCACTAATCGGGAAATCAAAGGAATCTTGGAGAAGACAATGTCTCGTTCAAGAAAAGATTGGTCTATAAAGCTAGATGGTGTTCTTTGGGCATATCGGATAGCTTATAAGAACCCTATAGGTATGGTGCCATTTAGGTTGGTCTATGGAAAATCATGTCATTTACCAGTTCAAGTGGAACATAAGGCACATTGGGCTATCAAGACCATTCATTTAGATTTGAAAGAAGCAGGGGAACAGAGAAAGCTTCAACCAAATGAACTCGATGAATTGAGGTTGGATGCATATGAGAATGCCAAGATTTACAAAGAAAGAACAAAGAATAAATGAACTCGATGAATTGAGGTTGGATGCATATGAGAATGCCAAGATTTACAAAGAAAGAACAAAGAAGTGGCATGATCAACACATCCATATGAGAATGCCAAGATTTACAAAGAAAGAACAAAGAAGTGGCATGATCAACACATCCTTCGTAAAGAGTTTACAGAAGGGGACCTAGTACTTTATTTAATTCTCGACTCAAGCTTTTTCCGGGCAAACTTCGTTCGAGGTGGTCTGGACCATTCCAAGTGCGTAAGGTATACCCATTTAGGGCTGTTGAAGTATGGAGTGAAGCCACTGGAACCTTCAAGGTCAATGGACAGTGGTTAAAGCATTATTTCGTGGGAACTCCGATCGAGAAGCTGGGTACTTGTACCCTTCCCGATCCATCATCATTGTGAGCATTAAAGGGGTCGAGCTCATGATCATAAACGAGCGCTTCTTGGGAGGCAACCCAAGTTTTTCTTTCACTTTATTTTTCCTTTTAGTGTTTTAATTATTAGTTTTGATGACATGTAATCAGGTTGTCGTGAACTGGTATGTAGGTGAATGACAAGGGGAAATAGGTAATAGAGAGTTCAAGGCTAAAGAGGACAGAAGGAAAAATGCTGAATACACAGTTTACACGGCTAGGCCGTGTCCACCAACACAGTTGTGTAGCAGTCGGGACGGTCTTCATCTCATTTTCGGAGTCTACCACACCCTGGGAAGGCGCCTACCACACCCATGGTCGAAAAAAAAACCCGACCCTC